AATAAAGGTAGGGTGAAATGGGACAACTGTAATAGCATAATCAATAAAATATATGTTTTTAAAAATCCCAGGTTACAAATGACAGTAGGAAACAAATTAATTGATTTCTTAGTCTAATGTACTTTCATTTGTAACTCTGAGTGTTATTTTAAAAAGTTATTACTATGGATTGAGCGCGGGCCTGCGAACCAGACAATCGCGGTTCGATTCCCAGTCAGGGCACATGCCAGGGTTGCAGGCTGGTTCCCTGCAGGCCAGTTTCCAGCAGGGGACCCACGAAAGGCAACCGTACATTGATGTTTCTCTCCCTCTCTCCTTCTCTTCCGCTCTAAAGATAAATAAATAAATAAAATCTTTAAAAAGTTATTACTAGAAAAAGCAAATTCCTTTGTCAATCGCATTGTAATCGGATTGGTAACTATGTCATTTAAAATATATTTTTGTCATTTAGAGATAGCATTTTTTTCTGATGCATTTGCAAAAATGTTTTGTCATCAAAAAGATCCATGGAAAGAACTCTTGACTTATTGTAAAATATGAGAGGGGACCCCAAAAATTTATTTATAAAAATTGTATATTTATTCTTAAATGTTTAAACTTCAGTCACCATCAAAGTTCCCTCCACTTAATGCAATACACCCACCAACATGTCCACTGCTCAAAACAGTTTTTGAACTCATCGATTTAGATGCCTTTAGTGCTTCTCTGCTGTTTTTTGTTTCCCCTCTTCCACACCAGGAAAATGTTTCCCTTTAAGGACTTTTTACATCCAGGGAAACAAAAGTAAAGTGGCTTGGGATGAGATCGGATGAATGGGGAGGGGAGGGCACAGGGGTTATGCTGTTTTTGATCAAAACTGCTGAACACTCACCAAAATATGGGCAGGTGTGTTTGTAAATCACCCATCATGAGATGGGCAAATGAGTTGCATCTTCAAAAAATTTTACTGACCCTAAACACAGCCTCTCACAATAACACCGGCTGGTACAGTGATACAGTTGGGTTCCTAGAACACTCACTGAGCAGGGGAAGCCTGTACTACAAGGGGTCTGCCCTCCAGAAGATGATTTCATTTTTATAGGGGTCCCCTCTCATACGAGTTTCTGAGAATAAATTTTCAAATCATACCTTTGAAATAGATGGGAATTTGTAGGGTTCTAGTAAATGACTGGGTTCATAGAGATATTGGTAAAAATCAGGATAAAAAATTTAATATGGGACTGAGTGAACTGATAACTACTGTTCTTATAACTTTGTTCAAATTACTGATTTTTAAAAACTTGTTTTCTTAGAGCAATGTGCTACATTGTCAATATTGACACATTTATATTTTTCTCCCTACTTAAACCTTTAAGAATATAAAAGCTTTTAATGAGTATTATTATTTTCATGACAATGTTTATTTGCATAAATCCAATAGGAATCTGATTTTTTCCAGTTTCCGATTGTGGTTTTATTAACCCAGACTTTGACTGGAGTGTCACATCTGAGACAGACACACCTAGATTCTGGATATCAGCAGAAAGCTTTAAGGAATAAAGATTGACTTCGAAAGTCAATAAAAGCCCTTTGGAGCCCAGGCTGGTGTGGCTCAGTGGATTGAGTGCCAGCCTGGGAACCAAAGGTTCCCCTTTTGCTCAGTGGAAAGGTTACTGGGACCCTCCTGCCTCCCCACCTCCCATCCTCTTTGCCTAGGCTCTGGAATGCAGGGACGGGGGGTGTGGGGTGGAGAGACTTGTGGGCTGAGGGAAGGGTGGCTGGATATTCAGTAATGAGGGAAGGCCTAATCATTAGAAGTCAGACAGACACTGTAACCTCCTGCTACAGGCCTTTGTGCTCTATTGAGATAGGAAATGGGGCCAGTGAAGTATATGAATGTGAGGAACCATGAAGTCTTTTGTTGAATCCAGTTCCTCATCTCCCAGCAGCTGTGAATAAAAACCATCTAGCCCTGGCTAGTGTAGCTCAGTGGATTGAGCACGGGCCTGTGAAGCAAAGGGTTGCCAGTTCAATCCCTGGTCAGGGTACATGCCTGGGTTGCAGGCCAGGTCCCCAGTAGGGGATGCGTGTGAAGCAACTACACACTGATGTTTCTCTCCCACTTTCTCTTTCCCTTCCCGTCTCTCTAAAAATAAATAAATATATTTTTTAAAAAGAAACTATATGTTAAAAAAAGAAAAGAAAAGAAAACCATCTAGAGCCCTGGCTGGTGTGGGTGGCTCTGTGAACTGAGTGCTGGCCTGCGATCTGAAAAGTTGCCAGTTCAATTCCCAGTCAGGGTACACGCCAGGTCCCCGACCAGGTCCCCAGTTGGGAGCATGCAAGAGGCAGCCAGTCCATCTCTTGCACACGTTTCTCTCACACACTGATGTTTCTCTCCCTCCTTTACCCTCTCTCTAATATAAATAAACTGCACTGTCCCTCTCTACATATCCTGTCTCCCTCTGCAGCCTAAAAGTTTCCCAAGGGAAGGCACTGGTGCTTCTTGTACTCAGAAAAGGGGAAGAGATTATAGATGGAAATACCTAAAGGGTTTAGTGACATAACGGTAAGAGCCACATTCTAGGAGTCAAGAGACTTTTAACTCAAATTCTGGCTCTGCCACCACTTCCAATGGTGGCCTTGGGCACATCATTTTCACTCCTTATAAAATCATAACTTGAACTAGATGATCTTAAAGATCCCATTCATCTAAAAAAAGTTTATTATATTTTATGAGACAAGAAACCTTATGAATTTTATTAAATGCAAGGGCCCAAAGTGAGGTTCTTATCTTGGCCAGCTGGTGGCATTATTTCTCTACATAACCACAATCTGGGGTTGCGAGGTGGTTGGGGGGCATGCAGTGCTGATAGAGCAAGAGAAAGGATTTACATTAGAAATTTAGAAAGGTAGAAAGGTAGAAAAAGAGAGAAAAGAGAAAAAGGAAGAGAAAGAAAAGAAACGAAGGAAGGAAGGAAGGAAGGAAGGAAGGAAGGAAGGAAGGAAAGAAAGAAAGAAAGAAAGAAAGAAAGAAAGAAAGAAAGAAAGAAAGAAAGAAAGAAAGAAAGAAAGAAAGAAAGAAAAAGAGAGGAAAGGAAAAAAGGAAGGAAGAGGGAGGGAGGGGAGAGAAAAAGGAGAGGAAAGGAGAGGAGAGGAAAGGTAGAAAGAAAAAAGGAAAGTGAAGAAGAGAAAAGAGAAAAGGAAAGAGAAGAAAAGAAAAAGACCTGGCTGGTATGGTTCAGTGGATTGAGGGCGAGCTGTGAACCAAAGGGTTGCTGGTTTGATTCCCAGTCAGGGCACATGCCTGGGTTGTGAGCCAGGTCCCCAGTCTGGGGCATGCAAGGGGCAACCACGCGTATTGATGTTTCTCTCCTTATCTTTCTCCTCCTCTTCCCCTCTCTGTAAAAATAAATAAAATAAAATCTTAAAAAAGGGAAAAAGAAATGATCAGAGAACCAGCTATTTCAAAGGACTAGGTGAACCCTGGAATCTGAGCCGGCTTCTTTTCTCCAAGGCAATAGAAAAAAGGTCTAATGCAATCAGTAGCCACCTTCACTGCTAGACTGGCAAAGTGACATTTGGAGGGGGGAAGAGTAAACATGGTCATGAGGCCAGGGGGTAAACCACAGGATGAACCTGAACTTGGGCTGGGTACTCCCCTTCTGCTATCTCCTTTACACCCATTCCTTGCTGAAAAACCCAAACATCCTGGCACTCAATCTGCATCTCTTTACCTGTGGGTTTCTTCTAGAGGGTTCATCGAACCCTCTGCTGATTTATTGTCCTGAAGGGCCCCTCCCCTCACTCCAAGAGAACTGAACATCAAACATTGTAATTAGTTGGCAGAGGGCAAGATGTTGGATATTTTAGGATCTGAAAAAGATTCACTCTTCTATCTACCCTACCTCCCACCCCTTCTTTCCCATCAAAGCAAGGGGTAGGGATGTGGGCACCAAAGGGGGGGACCCAGTGAAGCACCTTCTCCAGTTAGGCCTGCAATCATGAGGAGACGGGATGAGGTGTGGTGAGAACCATAGCTCTAAAACAAGGTTTGGGGACTGGAGAAGAGAGTGCAGGTGCTACTGACCTCCACAGACTACAGCAGGAAAAGTGCAAAAGCAGAGGTTAGCAGGACTACTTAACACTCGGGAGCAGGAACAGAAAGCGAGGGCATGCCCGGGTCTGCCTGGTCCTCCCGGGCTGTGTGCCCAGCAGCGAGGGAACAGGAAGCTGTGATTTCCTCTCGCCTTTCCCTCCCTGCTCTTAGCCTCAAGGTCACTTGCTGCTGTAATGAATTCCGACCTGTGTTTTAGTTGGCACTGTTCCCTGGGCTTGGTGATAACTGCTCAGTACTCTGCTCCCTACTGCCACGAACACCTCAAACTTTTCCTTTGAAACAATCATCCATTCAAACAGCAATGTACAAAGTGCTTTTTTCCCACCTATTATATAATTTCATCATACCAATCTTGTGAAGCAGAGACTTTTATCTGAAAATTTTAAGAAAGGAAACGAAGGCTCAGGGGAATAAAGTAACTGACCCAAAGTCATGCAGCAAGCAAGTAGCAGATCTAGAACTCCAGAACCTCTGCGTGCTCTCTCTCTCTGACACCCATTCTGACTTCCTGTCACGTGCCCCCCCCCCCCCCCAGGTACCTTCCCCCAGGCCTAAGGATGCACTTTCTGCTGAGAAGGGGTCCCTGTGCACTGTTAGGAAGTGGGGCTGCAGTTTGGTTTCTGTCATCCCTGCAATGGGACATTTCTGGTTCTCTCCCCAGGGTGGAGGCTTGGGGCTACCCTTCATAATGTGGCAATTCCCCCTTTTCTCCTCCCTTTCTGCCACAATAGCCTTTCTACACACAGGCTTGTGTGCACACACTGATCTCCCCGCCCTCTCTCACCCTGCCCCACCCACCACCAATCGTCCCATCTACACCCCGCCCTCAGAGGTCTGGGGCCTCCTGCTGAGAGCCCTCCCCCACCTCCCACTCCACCCTGATGTCCCCTGCCAATCTGGCCCTGCCAGGCACTGCGACTTCTGATGCCCTGAGATGCCCACACCCAATAGCTCTGCCCCGCTGCCCAGTTCCTGGGTCAACACCTCTTCTGCAGGCAGTACGCTGAGTGTGGATGATGCCGCGATGCCTGTCGAATTCCTATCCCTGAGGGCTGTGGTTGCCCTGGCCTATGGGCTTGTAGGGGCCATTGGATTCCTGGGAAATTTGGCTGTGCTGTGGGTGCTGGGTAACTGTGCTCAGCGGGCCCCTTGCCCACCGTCCGACACTTTTGTCTTCAACCTGGCTCTGGCAGACCTGGGGCTGGCACTTACTCTCCCGTTCTGGGCAGCTGAATCAGCACTGGCCCTCCACTGGCCCTTCGGAGGTGCCCTCTGCAACACGGTCCTGACGGCCACTGTCTTCAACATCTGTGCCGGCATTTTCCTCGTCACAGCGCTGAGTGTTGCCCGATACTGGGTGGTGGCCATGGTGGCAGGACCCGGCACCCACCTCTCGCTCTTCTGGACCCGCGTGGCCACCCTGGCAGTGTGGGTGGCAGCTGCCCTGTCGACAGTGCCTACGGCGGTCTTTGGGGCTGAGGGGAGGCGTGGGGTGTGCGTCAGTGCCTTCTGCGCTTCCCCGGCAGGTACTGGTTGGGGGCCTACCAGCTGCAGAGGGTGGTGCTGGCCTTCGTGCTGCCCCTGGGCACCATCACCACCAGCTACCTACTGTTGCTGGCCTTCCTGCGACGGCAGCAACGACGACGACGGGATAGCAGGGCCGTGGTCTCCGTCTCCCTCTGCTGGTTCCCCAACCACATGGTCACTCTCTGGGGTGTCCTGGTGAAGTCTGACCTGGTGCCCTGGAACAGCACTTTCTACACCATCCACACCTACGTCTTCCCTGTCACCACCTGCCTGGCACACAGCAACAGCTGCCTCAACCCAGTGTTGTACTGTCTCCTGCGGCGGGAACCCGGCAGGCCCTGGCAGACACCTTCAGGGACCTTCGAGCACGACTGTGGCCCCAGAGCCCTGGCTGGGTGAAGCAGGTGGCCTCAAAGGAGGTGGGCAGAGTGGACAGCACCCCACAGGAGAGTGGCCCTTCCACCATGCTCAGCACCTTGGACACAGGAGCACCTGGGTGAAGGTACAAGCCAAACACCCTCTTTCTGGCACCAGCCGGGCACAGCATCCATGCATCCTAGGGAGAGACTGGCTGGCTGCCAGGCTGCGTGCGATGCCCTCATGGGACGTCTGATTGGTGATCTCACTCTGGGTGTGGTGGAATCGGGGAGGCCTGGGCCCAGGTCAGGGCTGGGTATGTGTCTCATTTGGAGGTGGGAAAGAAGAGGATCTTAAAATAAACCTCTGGATCACCCGCAAATTGCCTTGACTTTTCCTCCCAATTCCAGCTCCATTTCAGTGTAGACAAAAGCATTCTTGCTCCACTTCTGCCTCCCTTGAGGACCCCCAGGAAACTTTCCCTCGGGGTTCTAAACTCACGGACCTGAGGTCAATGCCTGTCTCCTTCTACCTGTCCTCCCTGCCCCCACATCTCAAACAGGGTGTGCTCCTGTCCTCTGGTGCCGGGGACCAAAATGCCCACCTCCCCTGGCTATCTCCACCTTCTTACCCTCACCGGTGTCCCGAGGCCAGCACCTCCAAAGACCTCAGCTGCAAAAGCTATGATCAACCTGCAGGAAGATGCCCCATGTGGAATCTTGCTGGATTCCTGGCACCAGCCAAGCCTGGAGTGTAAAACCCTGGTGGTGGCTGGGAGCCCCTGTATGTCTCCCTTAAATGGGGATTTAGAGGGAGAAGTGAGGACAAGTCAAGGATGTGGGTGAGGTAGAGTGAGGTGAGAGATGCAGAGACAGGGTGGGGGGAGAAGAGGAAGCCAAACGTGGGGCTGGAGAAGTGGAAAGCAAGAAAAGTGGCGCTCACCTTCCCCACCCCACGATCTTCTCTCAGCCTCAAGGCCTGGGGATTCATTCCCATCCTAGCTCCAAAGGGACTCAGTGAGTTACTCTCTCTGTACCTGTACTCTCATCTACAGAACAGACTGCTGCCTGAAAGAGTGCTAGCCATTGTCCTTATACTCCATGTAAAGTGGAGACAGAGAGAAAAGAAAAAAAAATGAGGGGGTAGCTGGGAGATGGGGCTGGGAGGCCATAGCGGTCCTATCTGAAAAATTTTTAAAGATTTTATTTCTAGATATAGAGAAAAGGAGGGAGGGAGAGGAAAATGGGTGTGAGAGAGGCATTGTTTGGTTGCCTCTCACATGCACCCCCAGTCAGGGACCTGGCCCACAACCCACACCCTGACTTGGAATGGAACCAGGGACCTTTCACTTTGTGGGACGATGCTCAACAAGGGAGCCGCCACAGGTCAGGACTCATCTGGAATGAATTTTACATGTTCTGGAGTAAAATGAAAGCTTTCCTTAAGAACTGAGTGAGCAGCTGGCTCCTCAAGCCCCTCTTGAAGATGTGTTCTTTGGAGCAGGGGGTTCCCATTTGGTTTCCAGCTTCCGGAGACCCAGCAACAATAAAGGTTGGCTGTCACAGGGACTTTCTGGGAGGCAGCCCCTGGAAATGAAGGTGGCAGGAAGATGGGGCGGAGCTCCCACTTCCATTGCCCCACCCCCAAGCTCTGGCATATCCTGTGGCCTGAACAACTCTAGCTACTCAAGGTCGACCCCAGCGGCTGAGAGCAGCGCCTGCGTGCAGGGCTGCTCTGGAGGGCAGCCACAGGGTGGGCGGGCACGCTGCTCCGGCTGCGTCCAGCTGCTGAGAGGTAAACAGCCACCCAATTCACCATATATTGAGTAATATATTTAATTAGCCTCTTGATGTTCAATTTCCGTTTTCGATAATGTGTAAACTGGTTCTAACACTACAGGTCTGTTCCCAGCCAGTTCAGGATGGGAAACCCTTACCCACCCGAGTACGCTTTTGCCACCCCACGCGGAGCCCCTCCAATGGCCCTGCCTCTGCGGGGCCCCGGATATTGGCTCCTCTAGGGGCCTCTGCCTCATGGGACCCAGAGGTAAATATTGACACAGTTGAAACAGGTCCAATCCAGAGATCAATGCGCGTAGGCTCACCTTTAGAAGGGGTCGGGGAGGTGGGGGAGGTGCAGCAATGGAGGATGTGGCTGGGCAGTGCCTCTCGAATGGAAAGGCACTGTTGTGGCAGAGCTGGGCCCTGGCTGCCGGCACGAGAAGGCAAAGAGCTTTGAAACTGCAGGAAGTAGTTAAGACCGTTTCCAATGTGGGATTAGGGAATGGGCAATGTGACATCATGTTTCCGATGAGGAGGGGGTTTTGGTCAGGGGGCTGCAGGAGGGGTGGCACTACCAGGAATAGAGGTGGGTTTCTCCACACAAGCTCTGGGCCTGACCAGCATCCTTTACTGGGTCCCGGTGAGCATGTGGGAGGAGGCTGTGTTCCCTTCAGTGGTCTTTGGACCCTAACACCCTCCTCCCACCCAGCACTGGTCTTTTTCGGTCCTCTCCACCTGTACAGTGGGTCCCAACTGACATAGCAGAGGGCTGCTGAGCTGCGTACGGCCCGCGGGTTTGAGCCTGGAGCTCTGGTATTCTTAGGCAGAGTTGGGCAGGGCAGGGGGGAGTGAAGGACTGACCTCTTCCTGGACCCTATCTGGGTCTGGCAAGCCGTTTGCACCTAGATTTCCATGTCTATAAGATGACAGCCATTCCTACTGCAGACTGTGTGATGGGTGAGAAAGCACCTGGGAAAGCCTGACGCTGCTTGAGAATCAGAGGGTCCGAGGGCAATGGCTGCTCCCTAGTCCCACCGCCCACCATGGGATTCAAATTCCTCTTTCCAGCAGGAGGTCTCAAGCCCCATTCTCATCTCACCCCCCTGGCCCCCATGGAGGTACGTGCACGCAGGCCAGCATTTCTACACTCACCTCCCCCACAGCCCCGGGGAGGGTATTAACCAGAAACGGGAAGTACAAGTAATCAGAATGAGAAATGAAATCAACCTAATCTGTCAAAGAGCCAAAATGCAAGTAAACAGCTCCTCCGAGGGGAACCATCTTGAGAAGATACCCCAGGGCTCCGACTGAAGCACCAGGGTAGGTGGGAGCTCAACCTGGAAACAAACAACTCATGCAACGGGACGGGCTCAAAAGGGCAGGAAGGCAAGAGGCGGACGCAGCCTGTGGCACAGCGTGCAGACGACATGAAGACAAGTTTTCTAGCACTGGAATCCCCAACAGCCCCTGGAACCCACGCACCCCTTCATCTCTATCCTTGTGTTCGTGAGTATCAACAATAACAAAAAAGTTGGTAGCAGTTTCTTTTGTTTGGTCCCCTGTCTTCAGGGAGGCCACCTGCCCCTCCTGTGACAGGAAAAGACCCCTTTGGGAGGAACACAGGGTGCCACCTTCAGAACCAGCAGGCAGTCAGACAGTGCTCCATAGGGTTCCAGGTCTTTAATTCTCCTTGTTTTATCTTTCACTTGTTTCTTACAACCAAACTGGCAGACAAATGGCTGGGGCTGGTGGGCACTGGGGGTCCATTGAAAAATCCCCCAAATTCAGGCTGAGGTTCCAGCATTGTTGGTGAGGTGCAGGATAAGGTCAGGGCTTGTAGAGATTTCCCAAGGCGCCCTCGAACTGTTTCCAAATGGTTGGGGGAGAGGTCACACTAGGTCCCCCATTACTAGAGAGGGGGGGAGAGTCATTATTCCCCCATCCCTCAAGTTCTTCAGAGATGTGGAGATAGAAGGCTGCAATTTCTAATTGCCTACAATCTTCTGTTAAAAATATAAAACACGTGCAGTTGGCTTTGGTACAAAAAAAGAAAACAACAATAAGACATTCTGGCCCCTGTGGGTTTTTCCCTCAACCCCAACCGACCCTCATGGCCACCTCAACCTCTACTCCATCAACTCTAGGAAGCCGAGCTCTATCTCCTGGGGCTTCCACGGAGCACGAGAGAGAAAGAACAGCGGTACAAGGTTGAGGGAAGAGGGACATGGCCTTGCCCACAGCCCTTCTCGAAGGGGCAGTAGGGTCCTATGGTTGCAGCCTGCCTGTCTTTAAAGAGGCTGTTGCCGGAAAGGTGTCAGGGCAAGAACCTAGAGGCGCACGGTTCAGCCTGAGCAAACCCCAGTAGTGTTAAAGGGCAAGGCCCCCAATCCCTATGGCTTGGTTCCCATGTCCCTGGTCCTCTAATCTACCCTCTCCCTCCATAACTAATAAACAATAAATAAATAAATTTTCCTAAAGTAGAGGGAAGAAGGCGTGAAAAATTGGCATCTGTGGTGTAGTTTATGGATGCCACCAGGGGGCACTGTGGCCTAATTCCCCCAGCTTCCTAAATGGCCCCTGATATCCAAGAATCCCAAGAGCTGGCAGGGACAATCAGCAGTTCAAATGTTCCCTGGTCATTGGCAGGCTGGAGTCCCCAAGGTGTGCCTCCCTCAGTAACATTCTTCAAGGGGCACAGGAAGGAGGGAGGGGCCACCTTAGCTCTCCGAAGCTACAGACTCCCCATCGCGGCTCTCAGTCTCCTCTGGGATGTCCTGCATTCGGGTGAAATCTGAAGGGGACAGGGCAGAGTCAGTGAGTGAGCAGGCGCTCCCACGAACACCCCTACCCTGACGCCATCTGCAGGCTGAGCAGCTGAGGCTAGGAACCCCTGGGTGGGGGGAAAACTTCTGTCAACAAAGTAATGTGCCCACACCTAGGTACTTTATACACTTTGTAAATACATGAAGATAAAATTTGATTAATAAGATTCAAACTCTTTTCAGATTAACTATATGAAGTTACAGTAGCTTTTGGTTACTTTGTATTTCCTGATCCAACTATAAGAATTTGGAGGTCTTTGACTTTTGTTTTTTACTTTAAAAAATCTATTTCTACTTGAAAAGTTTGGGAATCACTGACTTATTGGAGAAGTGGTCCCTACATTCTTTGCTTCCTGGAGTTTCACCACTCATTCACGGTCAGACAAAACAGGAAATCCTCGTGTCCATCCCAAGAATTCCTATAGACCTCGGTGGTTAGTTAGGAACTTCCCAAATGTTTCCCATGCTCCCGGATGCAGGCTCCCTTTGGAAAGCACAGCCCAAGGGCCTGAACTCAAGCTGCACCCCCTTCTATTCCATGTCTCCGCCAGGATCTCACCTCGTGGACTATGGGGTGGAGACAGACGGCTGCTGCTTTCCTCCTCACTGCCAGTGTCAGGGTCACTATCTTGTAGCCGCTCCTCAGGGCTGCCCAGCTCCTGCCTCTCTCGATCTTCAAAGGGTCGATGGACAGAGCGACTAGTCACAGGCAAATCCAGGCGGTCATGGCCTCGGCTGGGCTATGGATGGTGGGCAAGAAAAGCAGCAGGCCGGGGAATGAGAAGTGGGAAGACAGCAGGCCCTGCTCAGCTGGAGGCAGTGTGCCCCATGGGGTCCCATGGCTGAATGCTCTCAGTAGATCCATCACTGACTTCTTTCTGCACCCACCTAAAAGTTCTAGCTCTCTAACTAGTATCCTAATATCCTTCAAGTCTGTTGCCCAATTTCACCTGGGCTCAAATCCCCAGTTCCTTTCAGGTTTTCCCATGGACCCAGATGTCCACCCCAGGTCAGTTCACTGCTCCAAGCTTCCTTACCTGTGGTGGAGTAAAACTCAAGTACAGGGCATCGCCTGCAGGGAGGCTCCGACGCCGAGGATCTAGAGGCCTGCGGGCCCAGGGGGCCTCCAGGGGGAGGGGGTCGGCCTGGCCCAAGGCGGCCAGCTGCCTGCGAGCCTCTTCAGCCTCCCGCTCCAGCAGAGTCCGGGCCTGCTCGCTCTCCCGGAGCCGAGCTTCCAGGCTGCCAGCCTCAGCTGCCCGCTCTTCGCCAAGGCGCCGGCAGCGCCGCAGTTCTTCCTGCAGCAGCGTGTGCTGCCGTTGCAGTAATGCCAGTTCTGTGGCCTGCTTTTCGGGAGCCACAGAGGTAGCCCCGGCTCTGCCAACCTCCCCATCCCGAGAGTTGGCTCGGGTCAGTTTCTCTCGTCGCTCGGGGCCCTCAGGAAATCGGGCTTCCATCAAAGTATCCTGCTGGGCCACAGCCGCCTGGCGTGGAAGGTGCACAGGTGAGTATATGAGACCCCACCCTGTTTCTTCTAGCCCCCACCCTCAGCCCCAGGGGCCAGGTCAGGATTCCTGGAGTGCTCCAACTGGGACAAGGTGCAGAAAGGCCAGTCAGAGTGACTCTGCCCGACCCGAGCAGCTCTGCTCTGGCTCCTCCCCTTCCCTATTCTAGCCCCTGCCCCACTGACCTGCAGGCCATGTAGAAGTCCATAAAGATTGACCAATCGCTGTAACGCTTCCTGAGGATAGAGGACAGAGGAGAGGGTGGGAACAGGGCCCAAGCTGCAGGATGAGAGAACTGCCTGGAAGCTAAGTGTGTGTGTGGGGACAGTAAGACTCGACACTCCGAGGTATGCACTCCCACACCCCTCCAACCTGCGCTCCAATTGCTCAGACTGAGAATCTCCTCCCTTCAGTCTCCTACACCATCAAATTCCCATCTCACCTCCTGGGGAGATCTCAGCTGATTTCCATTTCGATCCTGCAGCAAGGGGCAAGGGTAGGAGTCAGCAGGCATGCACGTCTCTAGTACGTGTCCCTGATAGTTCTGTGTCAAGAATCTATAGGCCAGCTGTCCCTTTCCCATCCTCTAGCCAAGTCCCAACACCTCCTGAGGACCAACCTTCTGGCTGGAGTCCGAGTCGGCTCTACAGAGCTCAATCGAGCCATTGAAAGTTCTGGCCTCGCCATCTGTTGAAAGGAGAAAAGAACAAGCCAAGCTCACTTCCCTAGGACCCTGACCACTTGGTCCCTGCTGCCACCCCTACGTTGGTCCCCTGCCCTGGCACTCACTGGCAGTGATTCCAGGACTCGTGTTACCACCACTTTCTGCTTCCATGGGCAGAGCTGGTTCCCGGGGTGTCAGGAGCAGCTCCACTCCGGGCCCCACCAGCAGGTCTTTCAGGCCCTCCACTAAAGGGAAAGAGTGAGAGGTGAGGGCAGAGGCAACACAGAAGCCTGTGGGGAATGGGAGGGGACGCCACTTGTGCAGCACAGGTGGGCTACGAGGGCTACGAGGCTGTCCAGGGGAACGGCCCTGCAGAGGCGAGCTCTTGCTCACACCGCCACGCACGAGGCAGAGTTCATCAAAGGTGCCCAAGGGCAGCCCACGTGTGTAGCATGAGAGGAATCTAACAGAAGTAAGAATCACGTCTCTTCCCCTGACTTTCCCAGCACCTGGCACACAGCGGGCATTCAAGGGAGCTTAGGGACTGTGAGGTTGATACCCCACAGCCCCTTTGTCTGTGTGCATCCAGGTCTAGCCACGTGTCCACATTCTCTGACAGTGAGTGGATGAGCGGGCACTCTTCCCTAGGGCTGCCTCACCCTCACGGATGGCATCCTGCAGCAGCCGCTCGCCACGAGGGGACTCGAGGGACTCGGAGCGGAAGAGGCTCCTGGGCAGGGTGGGCATGGGCCTCCCGCTGCTGCCATCCTCTTCCACCTGGAAGTGGGTCATCTCGGCGAATAGTCCAACCTTCTCTTGCAGCAGCTCCACCAGCGCCCGGTCTTTCTGTTGCAGCTCCACTGTGGAGAAGGAACCGGTGAGCACACAGGTGAGCGCACCGAAGAGCCAGCAGCGGAGCGGCAGCCCTCCCAGAGGCGGCCCCAGGGATCGGGGCCAGGCCTGGGCGGAGGAGCATGACTGACTTTGAATTTTTTGGTAATTATGAAAAAGTGTTTTGGGGAAAAGTAACATAGGTATTTTTGTTTTAAAAACAAAAGTAAAAAAGATTTGCAGCCTGAACCGAAGGCTGTCCAACAGCTTTCATCCCCGTCTTCGTTTAGTTAGAAAATGCACACGAGTTTCATCTGGGCACGTGGTACCCAGCTAGGCCTCATTTCCCAATCTAATTTGCAGCTAGAATTTGCCACATGACTACATTTTGGGTGATGGGTGTGCCTTCCAGGTCTACCCTCAAAACAAAGGGTACAAACTTTCCTTGTTCCTTGCTCCTCCCTGCCCCCTGCTAGCTGGGGTGCAGGCCATACCCTAACTAATATAAGGCCCTCCAGTAAAACAGTAAGTTACTATCTCAATCCTGGTCTTCCTAGTTCCCCTCTGCAGAGGCAGCCATAGTAATATCTTATCTTTGAAGAGACATTATAAACACACACATAATACCTTTGATGTATATTTATCCCCATCATTTTTACACCAAAGGTAGCATATACTTTATGCTGTTTTAAACCTTGTTCTTCTTTTTTAAAAGAAGACTTTATTTATTTATTTTTAGAGAGGGAAGGAAAGGAGAAAGAGAGGGACAGAAACATCAGTGTGCAGTTGCTTCTTGAACTGCCCACACTGGGGACCTGACCTGCAACCCAGGCACATACCCTGACTGGGAATCGAACAGGTGATACTTTGGTTCACAGGCCGGCACTGAATCTACTGAGCTACACCAACCAGGGCTAAACCTTGCTCTTTTCCCTTAATGATATATTTTAAGTATTGATCTACATCAGCCCTCATAGAGCCATCTCATTTATCAAAATAGTTGCATATAATTCCACTGTGTGAATGTATCATAAATTACTTAACCAACCCCTTGGGTGGACTTACTCTTAATTCGCCGCAGGTAAGCCTCATCCTCTGTCTCAATCAGGGGGAAGTCCTCCCTGGATGGGCAGCTGGAAGCATAACAGATCGGGTGAGAGTAGTGAAAGGAAGCGGTTACAGACCAGACATGTGCTGTGCTTTCCTGGTAAGACTCATTGGCTACATGCCCTGGTTTCCTTCCTTCGCTCTTGAACCTCCCCTTCTCTCAGCACTGATCATCTGCATTTGTTGCTATGTATGGACCTCTCCCAAGGTCACCTGGAGGTGGCACAGTGCAGAGGGGCAACTCCAGCCTTTGACAACTAGCAAACTGGGCTGATATCCTCCTGGCGCCACTGTTTACCAGGTGACCAACTTTCTACTTCCTTATCTGAAAAATGGGAATATCATCTTATAGGTTTTTCGTTAGGATTAAATGCAATAATATAACAGTGCTTTTGACAATGGTGAAAACTTAGTAAATGACTAAATAATTTTAATTGTAATTTTAACAATTACAAATATTAATACTATTAATAAAGGAGTCACTGTGGATCTAATGTCAATGGGACAGGTATTTCGCATTGTTTTGCTAAAATAGGCAATTTCATAGTTTTATATGCATTTCTGAAACCTTGGTTCAAAAGTCTAAATCGTGGAAATGAAAAAAATAGGTTTACATATTATGAAGTGGAGAAGAATCCATTTTTATGAAAGCTAAAAAGAATCCAACCGAGGTGAATGAACTGCTGCTTTGGCACAGTGAACGGTTTCCTTCTTGCCTCTATCGCATGGAGTTAGTTTATGAGACTTGCTTCTCTTATACCCAGTATCAATGCTTTCATTTCTTTTTCATTCGTTTTTAGAAAATAAAGGTAAAATGCAACACAACCCAAACAACTGCCCACTGCCTACAGACCAAGGTGCTAAGGCAGCTGAAATCGGGCTGTCGAACTGCCAGCTACCCCACCATATGTCAGCTCAAAATATTCCTTTGCTTGTCAGCTCATGTTGCATTTGAAAAGCAGTCAGGACTGTCATATATGAGAACATAAAGGATGACCTTTTCTGCCTTGGGCCATCCTGTCTCCCATCCAACGTCTGCCTCCACCTCTGAACTCTAGGTCCTACCCCATGGAGTGCTGTGGCCCGGGGCCCGAAGCCACAGGCACCCTGAGCCACACACACTCACAGGCGCACACTCTGCTGAATGACTCGGATCCAGGTGTTCCGGTCGTCTCGTGACGCCGTGTGGACCTCATACATCTCAGGGGGTGCTGCACTGATCAGAAACATCCCCTTCTCCTGGTTGGCAATGTCCCGAACGATGAGATTCTGCAGCGATACCACGGAGGGCTTGTCCTGTCAGTCAGGGAAAGGAAGGATTAAGCTTGGGAATCCTGATCCTTGGATATCTGGATGATCTTCAGTCCTTCTGGAATAACCAAAGGAAAGAAAAGTCTGCCCACAGTACAAAATAAGAGCCCCAACTTGGTGCCATCCAGAGAGGACTTAGAAGCACGCATAACCCTTGGCAATTTAATTAACTTTTTAAAAAAAGATTTTATTTATTTACTTTCAGAGAAAGGTGAAGGGAAAGAGAGAGAGGGAAACATCAGTATGTGGTTGCCTCTTGCACACCCCCTACTGGGGTCCTGGCCCGCCACCCAGGCACATGCCCTGACTGGAATTGAACTGGCGACCCTTTGGTTCACAGGCCTGCTCTCAATTCACTGAGCTACACCAGCCAGGGCCAAATTAATTAACTTTAAGCTTTACTTTCCTCATTTACAAAAAGGGGATATTAACTGGCCTTTCTCACAAGTGTGAAAGTGCCTGCATACAGTAACAATCCCTGTTAGTTTCCTATTTCTTATTTTATTATAATAATGGGTACAATCATAGCCATTGGACTCTATAGGACTGCAGGGTTTTTTCAGACTCAGGTAGAAAACCAAAAAGGGCCTGAAACACTAGTCTGTGCTGACAAAGGAGGTAGAAGGCCTTACTAGGGTAGGAAAAATGTACTTCTGGTCCTTCTCTTGGAGAAACACCAGCACATCTGTCATCAGCAGCATCAGCACATCTGGCGGGGGGACAAAGGCGGGGAGAGCAGTCAGCACGAGTGAGCGGCGGCTCCCTCTTCAAGCGCTCAAGGACCAGGCCAGGCCCACCCAGTCTAGTCAGAGCTCCTGACCCCCCTTCCTGGCCTCTCTTCCCTTTGGTTGCTCCCTCCAGCTGTGCAAGCCTCGCACCTCCCCACTCTTACAGCTTTGAAATTCAAGGGGAAAAAAGGATGCATATGCCAGGTAAAACAGCTTCTTGGGCTGGAAGAAACCCAGAGATCAACCAACTCCTGTGAAGACAGCCCTCTTTACCCAACTGAGGAAGGCTTCTTAACCTGGGGCCCAGAGGCCCCTCCCATGTCCATTGCTTGGCTCCACAGGCTCTGCAAACCCTCTGAAGCTGAGAATAAAAAGGATTCCCAGAGCAGGAGGGGCCGCCGTTTTTCAACTTTTCAACCCTGTTTCTAACCCTAGCTAACCTAAGACCATGGGGCTTATCAGACCCCAATCCCCATGCCCAGCATGGCCCCACTTCTCATTTTGTGCCAGGGAGGCAGGGGAGGTTGGGTCCCTCGCCCCCTCTGCCACAGCTGAACAATGCCATCTCCTTCCGCCCCAGCAGCCCCTTCGCTTTCCTCCTCTGCCCCAACTTCCAGGCTCTCACACCCTATGAGGTCCTGTACTTTCAGACTGCAGAGGAAACAAAGGTCAAGTCCATAAAACTCAGATGTCGTGATCAAGAAAATACATACCCCATTCCCTTGGAGATCATACTGAACTGCGGGCACACAGAAAGGGGGGGGTTCTGCTAAATGCTTCAGAAATAAAGATCTCCAGTCTTACTAGTTCTGACCTCCCCCCCAAGGCTTATATTCTTAGCTACTATGTGGGATGGATGGGAAGGAGAAAAAGGGAGGAAGGAAAGAGGCTGGTGAAGAAGACTGCAATCCCCAAGCACATGGGGATTCCAACACGGGACAGAGGCTCAGCCAGGCTCCGGCCTGAGGGCGCACGACTTACTTGTGTTGCCCACTCCTCACCCCAAGCTGAAGCCTAATACTGTCTCCCCCTGATTTAGGCAGGGAAGACTTGGTCAGTGCCATGTGGGAAGAGAGCCTGGGAAAGTGTGCCCATGCCCCAACACACCCCGTGGCTCTCCTGTCTTCTCTAGTCTAGTCTAGTCTATCCATCCTTTGCTGGGCTCCACCCCCACCTGGGGGCCTTCCCAGCTGTGTTTCCAAAGCTCCTGCCCACTCCCCAGCCCAGTGGCTGGGACTCCAGTGGGTACAGCCAACTGCCCCAAGCCTGTCCTAAGGTCCTGGAGCTTCTGTGTTCCTTATCAAAACTGATAGCTCTCTGGACATGAAAGGACCAAAGAAAGGAATAAATACTGACAAGGAAGCCCCTGTGCAGTGCATCAGGTTAAATCCAGAATGCAGACTTTCACCGAAACAAAGACTAAGTTTTTTTCTTCTCACTAGGTCTCGCCCACATATAAGGCTACAATGACAGATCTAAGGACTGGATGTCTCTCCCTCTCAATCTCTGACTGCAAACTCTTGCTCAGCCTGCCAAGGTGACCACTAACCTTTGAAGCGGCCAGTCGCTGTCTTCCAGAGCAGGCAACCATCATGGATAAGCTTGCGCCGCAGAAGCTCCTCTCGACCAAAGGGGCCCTTGCCAGGCACCGGTGTCTGGGCCCGGGGGTCCATGCGGGTGTAGATCTCCTGCAGGCGAGCCCCCTTCTCCAGCTCATGCACATCCTGGTCCACATTGGACAGCAGCTCCTTCACCAGCCCCAGAGCCGTCATCAGGTCTTGGCGCTCCTCCTCAAGCCCTGGCACCGAGGTCGGCACGAGGGATGGCTCAGCCAGCCAGCTTCACCTCGGTCCCAATTCCCATCTAGTCTCGATCACACCATCAGAGGCTGCCTAGGGTTCCACATCTGTCCCTATCCCTTCTCTTGAGCCTTTTCATATCCCAGACAGCCCTCACCCCCATCCTCTCCAGGGCCCTCCCTCTCACCGTGGGAATGCTGCAGGATCCGGCTGATGAGCACTGGGTACTTGGTGATGCGCTGGGTCACCAGCAGGATGCACTCCTGTACCCCATGCCGCTTTAGCACAGCCAAGCGGGTCACTTTCTGCAAGGGCAGAGGCAGGGCTCAGGGCCAGAGTGGGGCCAGAGGGAAGGGCAACATGGAGAACACTGGACTTGGAGCCTACGCTCTGGTGCTGGCCCTAACTTGGCCATTGACCTCATGCTGGCTTAGGTGAGTGCATCTGGAAGATGAGGATACAACGCCACAGGTTTGCTATGAGGACAACCAGACCAAGTAGTGGAAAGCTTTTGCTCTACTGCCATGAGGGGCTCCACAAGCACATAGTCCACAGAGGCTGGTGAACACCTAGTGCGTGGGTAGGTGCAGTGCACCTGTGCACCCCGTGAATGAGGCAGGCTGCGTTTGGGCCACAAAAGGAGGCTGAGTGTGTGTCCTTGAAAGGTCTGCTCACCCGGATAAACTGCTGGAAGCGTTTGTCTCGGGCATATAGCTCCTTATAGAGCTTTAAGGCCTTGGTGTGGCGGCTACAGAATTCTGAGTAGGTCTTCCGCATCTGCTCCGCACTGGCACCTGAGAACTAGAAGTTGGGGGAGCAAGGCTGGGTCAGTATATCCCCCAAAGCCACACCTTATCCCCTGATACCCTCTGGCCTCTGGCCAAACAGGCTGGCTTCCTGCCACTCCAGATGTCCCTGGCCCCAGCCCCTAGAGCTCGGAGGCAGGAAATGCCCACTCTAGTCAAACTTCCACCTATGCATGTAGCCCATGGGTCCTCCCTTTTCTCACCTGGCTGATGAGTAGGTCACCCAAGCGAGGAATGACGAAGTTCCGTGTGCTGCCAGGGCACAGGGCCTGACGTCGGCGGTCTAACAGCTGGCTAAGGAAGCGGGTATGGATGTCACTGAGCTCATCTACACAGGGGAACAGACCCTGGACCACTCCTGGCTCCAGCTGTAGCTCTTCCAGCATCCCCGTGCGGAAGAGGCGGGTCATGATTTTCAATGTCCGCACGTGGTGCAGCTCCGTCTGGATTAACTCTGTGTGGACAATGGGACATCCGACCTCTGTCCTGTTTGGCCACAACTGGTAGGACCTGGGCTGGGGGCTTCAGAGCTCTATTTGAGGTTTTCAAGGTTCCTTCCAGGTTAACATTCTGCATTATTATGACCTTAGATCATTTACTACTTTTTTTCTTTTTTGATTTTGAGAGTGTATTTATTAAAGCTCAGGACAGTACAACGAGCAAGGGCACAGCGTAGAGGAAGCAACAGGAGAGCCTAGAAGAAGCTGCTTTTGCTCACTAGAAAGTCAGAGAAAGGGTCCTTGGAGACAGGATGGGGGCAGGCCGGGGATGAGCTGTCACTGCCACTGCTCCCCTGGTTGCAAGTCTCGTGGGGACCCTTAGAGTTTAGGAGATGCCCCCGCGCAAGAGAAGAACAGCGTGGGGTACATTCCTGAGAGGAAGAGCAAGACTGGCCTTAGAGCACTTTCTAACCAATTTTTATCCTGATGACTGTCTTCTCAAGTAGTAAGTGGTTTTAGGGCAAGAACCACGTGTTCTCTACATGGTCTGCCAGGCCCTAGCGTGGTGTCGGGCATGGAACGGGCACAGAGTAAAGACCAGGAACTGACCTGAATGAAGGGATGAGGGCAGAGTCTCAGAGGGCAGTGGAGTAAGAAGGAAGGGTGTTGGGGCTGGGGGCTGGCAGAGGAAGGGTACTGACAGGACCTGGGGAAGGAAGAGAAGTCTCAAGGAGGTCTTGCTCACCATAGATGACATCCTGCTGCTTCATCACCTCCTTTTTGTGCTGCTGCAGGAAGCTGCTGTCCACAGCGAGGCTCCAGGAATCAGCTGCAAAGTCCTTCTCGTCCATCTCAAAATCACTCATCAGCTCATTGTAGATCACCTCCGCACCTGACCATCAGTGGGGGGAGACAACTCAGAGCCAGTCCCCTAGATCCTGGGTCCTTCTCGAGCACCCCCTCCCCAGGCCTGCCCACCAGCCCCCACCCCCAAGGCACCCCCCAGGCCCCACCCAAGCCCCACCCAGTCACCTTCATCAATAAGCGACTCTACCGACAGGGTTCGG